AATGTTGATTTTTTTGATGTTGCTTTAATTTCTTCTAGATAACTTAATTAGTGATTGGTTACATTAGGATAGACCTGTTATGTGTATTTAGTCATTTATTGGTTATGAAGAAAGAGTTATGCATACCAGGAGAATTGTTTATTCTTTTTTTTTATAATAAAAAAAAGGGATTGTGAATTATGCTTTGTGATTTGCTAAGGATTTGATGCGAAAGGTTTTTCCCTTATTTGTTGTTTCTATAACCTTCTTCAGTTGGTGGTTATTACATTCTGAAGTTAAGAATTAAAAATTATTGAATAAATTTAGGCATGTCAAGGTTTTGGCTTACTACCTATCATTTGACCATGCTGTTGTCAATTTTATGCCATTTCCCTTTAAATTTTAAATCACCATTCTTAATTTTCTAGGAAAATAATGTGTTGCCATGTTGGCACTAATTCTTGTGCCTGCAATTTTTCTTTTTCTTTGATGGTAGTGCTTATGTTTCAAAACCTTTACTGATTTTGAGCAGTTGTGACAAAATTGATATAGTTGATCGGGAATACTCCAATGATATATCTCAACAAAGTAGCAGAAGGATGTGTGACAAACATTGCTGCAAAACTTGAATCCATGGAACCTTGTCGGAGTGTTAAAGACAGGTAAATATTCTGTCCATGATAGAAGTGTCAATCATGTTGTTTAGCCCTTTATGGTAGGTGAAGAGCAATTTCTGTTAGTGAATGATTCCCCTTGTGCACTGGGTCATCTTTTTATGCAACTTTGGGGCATGAATCATCTGTATGGGTTGTGCTTCAAGTTATCAATGGAACTGGAGGCTTATAAAAGTTACGGATGACCTCATAATGTACTATTATCTGCAAGTTCTTAGCTGGTTTTCATGTATGCCTGTTGAAAATATGTTAAAAATGACTGATGTCATCTGTTTTTCAATGGTTGACATTTTAGGATTGGTCTTAGTATGGTATCTGAGGCTGAAGATAGTGGAGCAATTTCTCCTGGGAAGGTTAGCTTTGTTCTCTTTATGGCTAGTGCTCATGAAGACCTCTGCAAATATGTGATTGATTTTTAAAAATTCTGGTCTCAGAGTTGTAGACACACTTGCACGGTGGAAACTACCTGTTCTTTTAGCATGATTATGTATAGTATTAATTTTTTGAGGGTTATGTCATATGCAGACCATATTAGTGGAACCAACAAGTGGAAATACAGGACTTGGAATTGCCTTTGTTGCAGCAACTAAGGGATACAAGCTTATAGTAACTATGCCTGCTTCTATAAACCTTGAAAGGAGAATCCTTTTACGTGCATTTGGAGCAGAGATTGTTCTGACAGACCCAGAAAAGGGCTTGAAAGGAGCTGTTGATAAGGCTGCAGAAATTGTGCTTAACACTCCAAATGCTTTCATGTTTCAACAGTTTAATAATATGGCTAACACAAAGGTAATAGATGTTTTTTCTCATAGTAACCCCTAAACTGGTGTTGGTTTACCTAAATGGCTAAATGTGAAATTCACAGATATTATATTCAGACAGAGTTAAGATATTTTTGCATGAACTGCAGATTCACTTTGAAACTACAGGACCAGAAATATGGGAGGATACTTTGGGTAATGTTGACATATTTGTTGCTGGAATTGGAACTGGTGGTACCATTACAGGCACAGGAAGCTACTTGAAAATGATGAACAAAGAAATTAAGGTTTCTTTGCTATTTAAGCTTGTTATGAAGTACCTTTTAAGTTGACAGCTTTAGTGCTCTCTGGAATTCTCAAGCTTGTAACTGTTAGTCGTTAGAGATGTTTTAGATTTTCTAGGGGTGAAATTTTGATAAC